ACTCATCAAATTTGCAAATGACAGAAAAGTGGCAGGAATAGCCAACACCCCAGAAGATAGGCTGAAGATCCAGATGGATCTAGAAAGACTTGAACCCTGGGCCTATCTAACAAAATGAAATTCAATGTAGAGAAAAGTAAAGTCTTACACTGAGGCTAGAAAAACCAAATGTACAGGTACAGATTAGGTGAAACCTGGCTCAGTAGCAGGAACTGTGAGAGGGATCTTGGAATCTTAGTGAACAATCTCTCAAATGTGATCCAACAATGTGTGGCAGCAGCCAAAAAAAGCCATTGGAATCTTAGGCCGCATCAACAGGAGGAGAGAATCAAAATCACATGAAGTATTGGTATAGCTTTATAAAGTCTTGGTAAAATCACCTTTGGAATAGTGCAATGATGGTGAAACCTTTCAGCACCGAGTACTCTTGTCAGGGACATGATGTGGAAGAAGAGTTGCCCAGTGTGCATGTCAGTGCATATATGTGTACCAGGCAGCTCCTCTTCCAGTTTCTGGCACTGCCGTGAATGCTAAGGCTCCTGATTGTTGCGTGCACATGTGTACCAGAAACCCTGAAGAACAATGGGCAAGGCCGTGCATTCCACTTAGCCCGAGCTAAGAAGCTGAGGCAGAGGGTGCCATTTTCCCCTCCTGGGGCCTCCATGCATCCCGTTTTTGGCCTCCCTGGCCCCTAGAAGCACCCTGCCAGCCAAAAACGTTGGTGTTACATTTCAGCTTCAGTCCATGGGACTTGCGAAAGTAATGTCTGCACTCAGCCAGCAGGTGGGGGCTGGCAGGTGGGTGGGGCGATTTGGGTGGGGCAGCCTAGTGGTCCCACGTGGGCTGGATTAATGGCTTCGGTGGGCTGTATCTGGCCCACGGGCTGTAGTTTGAGGACCCGTGGTATAGGTCTCCTTCTTGAGCAGGGGGTTGGACTAGAAGACCTCAAGGGCCCTTTCAAACCCTTTAACTTTGACAAAGGAGCTCATTTAGATTAAACACTTGAGTGAAAGTGGTGCTTAAATGAAAACCTCAGAGCTCTCCAGCTTCCTCAGCCCCAATTATGTGAGGCCAAGTTTCCCCCCATGTTCTTACATCAATCTGATGTTTGGGGCTTCAGAGAGAAACCACCAGCAGAACCAACCCAATCACAGCCTCTGAGGAGGATCTTGGGGTGGACAAAAAAACCTCCAGCTGCTGCCTCTCAGAGCTGATTTGGGAATTTNTGTGCTCTTGAATGTATGTCTCTCTCCTTTCCAGGTGAAGCTGAATGTTTCTCTGGGTTGAGAAAAAGCAACAGGATGATATTCCACCTTGTGAGAGTCCTTTGAATTCCTCTAATTCTTCTTTAGAAACAGGAAGGGGATTGATTCATTGAGTCACCTCATGAATGATGGACTTCCTACTTCTGCTTCTGATGCTGCTAGTGTCCCATTCAGTCTCTGGGAAGCTGAGAATGAAATGCCTGCTGAGTTCAGAGAACCAGGATGGAAAACAACCACAGAGCTTTTACAGCCTAGGAGACCATCTCATCGGTATAGTCATCAGTGGAGATGAAAGATTGCATGTAAAGTTGCTTTTCAATGTGGCTCCTTCTCTTCAGTTTATTTTCCATGATTTGTAAGTCATTCAGAGTGATAGAGTTGCACTCCTTCCATTCTAACACTCTCCTTCTTTTTTGTTTGTTATTTTTCATTCATTCCTATATTGGGGGATATGTCTAATTTCCGAATGATTTTGATTTCCATGGCTTCTCTCTTTTGTCTGATTTTGTGAAAGAGCCTCAAATCCAAAAATGGGTCTGAAAAAGAGCTGAAAGGGCTTCAGATTATTTTCTTAATTCAATCTTTAATTTGTCACTTGAATAATGATTTTTTCTTTAAAGTAGTGGTGGAACCAGTCGTAGTTGCTGTACCTCAGCCAATTTCCACATTTGTGTAACTGATCAATGCTTTTGAATCAATGTTGGTTTAAGGCTCAGTAGGCTTCTGGAGGATTTTATATTTTAAAAAAGTATTTGTTGTTGCTGTTGATTATAATAACATGTTGATGGTTTTCTAAACGGGTTACGATTTATTTTCAACATTCAAATGGTCAACAAGAATTCCCAGCTCCTGCACAATCTCACACTGGGCTACAACCTCGATGACAACTATTGGAGCACTTTACGCACTTCAGATGCCTTGCTGGACATGCTCTCTACTGGAGAAGCCAATGTCCCCAACTACAGCTGTGGAAGAAAGGACAACCTTCTGGCTCTTCTTGATAGAGCTGACAGGGACATCTCCATCCAGATGTCAACAATAGGAGGCACCTACAAAGTCCCACAGGTTTGTGTGTGTTTTTCTCCATCTGGGTGGTGGGTGGTGGTGGGTGGTGGTGGGTGGTGGTGGGTGAACAATCATGTCTTCATTGAATTCAAGAGCTGCTTTCTCCATGTCAGTATTTTACCCCTTCATATTCATATTGAGATTAATCATAAAAGGCCTGAAATGCAAGTAATACATTCCCAGGAGAAGACAGTCTACAAACTATTTAACTTATAAAAAAATATCCCTGGTTGTTGGGGCCTCTATTGGCATCTTCATTTCCAATAGAGGCATATAAATAATGCCTTTTGTATGCACTCGGATTGAAGTTGGCAATAGTAGCATTTTATCTATCCAAAAAGTGGAATAAAAAGGACTCTAGCAATTATAGGCCAAATAGACTAGAAGATACTGTGACTAAAATTTATGCCATGATCCTCTTAGTTAAATTTGAGAAAAATGCATTCCTTGCCGAAGTACCAGAAAGTTTAGGTAGTGAACAGCTATATGGATTTTATAATAAATATTGCAAGTTAACAATCTTATATTGGTAATAAATTTGTCTTGAAATATTTCATCTATATCAGCAAAGTAAAACACGGTTTGCTGACTTTCTAGATGTTAGTGCATTTGTCATAATTAACAGAGAAATATTATGTAGGAAATTGGTTGCCCTCAAAATGGAGCTCAGCCTGTTGGCCCTGATCCAAACTCTTTCTCCAGGTCCTTGTTTAAGAGGGAGGTTTGGGCTCAATGGAGCCATGAGAAGAAGGATTGATACTTACCAAGGAGGAAGGGAAGGATGCATATTTGAACCCTTGTTAATCAGTCTAGATATTGAACAACTTACTTCAACGAATGAAGGCTCCAAACACAGATCATAAATAAATGTTATTTCATTTTTT